TTTAGCAACCACCTAGCAACACCATGGAAACTGGCCAGAACACTTAACCATTTAGCAACCACATAGCAACACCCTGGAAACTGGCCAATACACTCTAATCGGTTTAGCAACCACATAGTAACACCCTAGCAACTAACCAGAACACTTTTAAACATTTAGCAACCTCATAGCAACACCTTAACAACAGGCCAGAACATGTTTAACCATTTAGCAACCTCATGGTAACACCCTAACAACAGGCCAGAACACGTTTAACTATTTAGCAACCTCATAGCAACACCCTAGCAACTGTCCAGAACACTTTTAACCATTTAGCAACAACATAGTAACACCCTAGCAACTGGCCAACACACTCTAATCAATTTAGCAACCACATAGCAACACCCTGGCAACTGGCTGGAACACTTTAAACCATTTAGCAACCACAAAGCAACACTCTTGGAACTGGCCCAAACATTCATCCATTCATTGTCGGCTTAGTCCCTTTATTAATCAGGGGTCACCACAGAGGAAAGAACCACAAACTATTCCAGCATATGTTTTACACAGTGGATGGCCCTTCCAGCTGTAACCCAGTACTGGGAAACACCCATACACATTCATTCATATACACACACACTTCTACACTATGGCCAGTGTAGTTGATCAGTTCCCCTATAGCACATGTGTTTGGACTGTGGGGGAAACTGGAGCACCCGGGGGAAACACGGGGTCCCTGGCCCAAACACCCTAAACCAGGGGTGTCAAACTCAATTCCTGGAGGACCGCCGCCCTGCACAGTTTAGTTCCAACCCTGCTCCAACACGTTTACCTGTAGATTTCAAACAAGCCTGAAGGACTCAATTACTTTGATCAGGTGTGTTTAATTAGGGTTGGAACTAAACTGTGCAGAGCTGCGGCCCTCCAGGAACTGAGTTTGACACCTGTGCCCTAAACCATTTAGCAACCGCTTAGCAATGCCCTGGAAACGGGCAAGAACATGTGGCCATGTAGCATCCAGAGAAATAGAAACTATGTTTAATGCAGTATTAATGATGTCATTGACATTTCTGCATTGTTTTTAAAGCATCTTCTGACGTTTAATACAAAGATTTAAATGAGCAGTCACACATATTTACCTAATGTTGATTATTCAGTCTAAATAACGCTGAGTATTTGGATGCGTCTCATTGTTTGAGCCGATCTGTGATGTTTATTTTTGCCCTTTTGTTGATCAGACTCCACTCCGTCCTCTCTCTGCTTCTAATGCAGCACAGATGTCTCTTAAACAGTGCTGAATGGTTGTTCAGACGCTGTGGAAACGTTCTTGATCTGATGTACAGCGTGTCTGGTCGGTTTCTACAGCTCAATGTGGGTCACCTTTAGCATCTGGAAACTGCAGCGGTACATCTAATTGAGTCTGGAGACGTTTGGCTGCAGTTTTTCCTGGCCAGAAACATTTCCTTCTGGCATGGAGACGCTCATATCTTCTGTGTAAGGCAGTTAGTGGCTACTGTTCTGGATTGTAGCGTCACGTTACACTGTTCAGAGATCAGTGCAGGAGCGCTGGCGTGCACACTCCGACTGTTAGTGCAGAATGTGAGGAGCTGCTCTCAGATGACTGTGGCGGAGGAATGTGGAGCGGCTCTGAGTGTGTGTTTATGGAGCTGAGTGTTGGTCAGCATCAGTGCTGTAGATGTAGAGCTGAACCAGCTGAACTCCGCTGACCTCTGACCTCTCATTCTAAACTCGTTTGGTTTGCTTTGATCAGTGAAGCACACTAGATAGTGCTTATCTACAGTCATCAGTTCTGTGTGTGTGTGTGTGTGTGTGTGTGTGTGACTCTTCTGCTCTGTGTTCAGGAAAAGAGTTCTTTGTGGGATTATCAAAGAGAACCAATCAGAGAGGAGCAGAGATCCTGGCCAACACCTTTAAGGTGAGACTCGTCTGTCTGTCTGTTCA